GGTGGCTCCCCCTTGGGGCTCCCAAATGATGCCCCTGGCAGCGTTTTGTGACCATGAGGCTCTCAAGAGAGACATGTTGGGGAGGCCAAACGGCAATTTAGCTGAGACGTCCCACCAAAATCGGCGCGAACGGGCTCGTGAGATCAGCCAGGGTGGCTCCCCCTTGGGGCTCCCAAATGATGCCCCTGGCAGCGTTTTGTGACCATGAGGCTCTCAAGAGAGACATGTTGGGGAGGCCAAACGGCAATTCTAGCTGAGACGTCCCACCAAAATCGGCGCGAACGGGCTCGTGAGATCAGCCAGGGTGGCTCCCCCTTGGGGCTCCCAAGTGATGCCCCTGGCAGCGTTTTGTGACCATGAGGCTCTCAAGAGAGACATGTTGGGGAGGCCAAACGGCAATTTTAGCTGAGACGTCCCACCAAAATCGGCGCGAACGGGCTCGTGAGATCAGCCAGGGTGGTCCCCCCTTGGGGCTCCCAAATGATGCCCCTGGCAGCGTTTTGTGATCATGAGAGAGTGTGAGTGTGAGTGAATGTGACTGTGAGTGAGTCTGAGTGAGAGTGAGTCTTATCTTATCTTATCGAGTCCTATCTTCTCTTACCTTTAGTACCCTCTATATTTTCTTATCTTGAAATCTTTTATCTTGTCTTAGCTTATCTTCTATCAACTCATCTTATCGCATCATATCTTGTCTTATCTTATTATTCCATAGGCTGTCTTACCTTATCTATTATCCGACCTTGTCATATATCTTGTCTTACCTTATCATATCTTGTGCTATCTTATCTTATCTTGTAGTATCTTATCTTGTCTTGTCTTATCTGGTGATTATCATTGGGAGGAGGGAGGCGCGAGCGGGAGGAAGGAGGAGCAGTGGGAGGCGTCAGAGTAATAACAAGAACCCCAATCCTTAGGATATGGGGAAAAACCAGACAAATAACTGACACCTCGCGGGGCGCCCCGTCCATGTCCAGGGGGAGGGTTCACCAGGAGGGGTAAACCCTTTCCCGACAGGGAAGAAGGGGGGGGTTGGACGAACAAAACTCGGTGCACCGCTCACGCCTCAAAAAAAAAACTGGAAGGATCTAAGGAGAACTACCTTTACCTGGGCTGGGCACGTACCGCGGTTTGAAGCAGTCAGCAGAAGACAGGAACGCGTAACAGGTTTCGCCACTCGGTGGTATGTCAGAACTGCGACAGCTGGGTACATGATATCCTTGGCCTTTCTTCTTAGAGGACCCCAGGAAGTCCCCGTCCTTCTTAGAGGACCCTCGTGGAGGCTGCCGCTGCTACGTATCCGTTTGGGATCTTCTGGAGGCGTCCCGCTGCACTCTTGCGGACCGCCGCACTGACAATTGGGAGATGCCCGAGCACGGATCAAAAACAAGAGAAACACATATGGGCACATGATATCATCAATCGTGTCATGGCACATGTTTCCATGCGTGGCGATGCGGGGCGTCAACTTTCCCAAACTCTTGGGCGACGCATGGCGTAGCTTGGACATGGACCACGAGCGGTGGGCACATCACACGAAAGTTTTGGTGGTAACAACGACTTTGAGCGCCAGGTCCGGGTCACCACTCAACGCACTCAACGCACTCAACGCAAGCATAATCACGACGATGGCTTGGTCGTCGTCCTTCTGGCCGTCGTCGCTGTGCCTCATCCCTCCTGCCTTCCTTCCTTCCTTCCTTCCTTCTTTCCTTCCTCTTTTCTTTCCTCTCTTTGCCCGCGAACCCGTGGATCTCTTCGTGCTCCATTTTACGTCGCCTTCCTCATTACCCCAATCCTCGTATTGCCCTCCCTTCCTCTCCTCAGGACGCATCTCCTAGGAGGTTTTATTCAGCATCGGTGCTGGTATATCCGTTGCTGAAACCCATGTGAATCCGGCATCATCCTCCACTTATTTCTTTAAAGCCAGTTTACTCCAGCTTACGCTGGCTTGCTCCTTCGCTCAATCTGGCCTAGTCCAGCTTAGTGGCCCCTCGCGCGGGCTTACAGCCCGTTCTCTCCGCGGACGACTTGTGTGCACCTTGCCGCCCTTGTCGCTCCCTGGGCGTAGTCGATTCTCGACCCAGGACTCGTACGGTGCATACTTCTTCGGCCCCCCGAGCTTCATGGGGCACCGTACCGCGTTGGAGCGAGGCCCAGAGGGAATCGAGACGTGGCACGGTGCGCGTGCGCCGCTCTCTCGTAGAATCCTTCTTGCGATGACCTCCCAGGAGTTGCTTGCAGATCTCCTGCCCACTGGTGATCGTTGTTTTATTCGGTGTCTTGCCGATCGGCGCGGGCCGCACCCCCCCGCTATGGAGTAGATCTTGGCTGTTTCTGGCGCCTGTTTCAGGCAGGTGGAGAGTCTCCCCTGCAGGACGCACTGGTGCAAATGGTCTCGCTGAGCAGATGTCCCGAGCCAGACCCCGCGCCCTCCCCCCCCCCTTCCGCCCCGTGTCGACACGCCGAATCTCCCAAGAAACCGCTCGCCTGCCTTCCCCGCGAGGCCCTCGCGATGGGCTCCTGCGAGGCCCCCAAGCAGCCGCAGCCGGAGCCGCCGACCGACCAGGAGGCGGCGCTCGACGAGGCGCCGTTCCCCCTGCGTGCGCCGCGCCGCGCCCCAGGCGGCGGCGTGCCGCCCCCGCCGGCGGGCGGGTGGTCCTCCAGAGGTCCCTGCCCGCAGGGGCGCGGAGGCGATCGCAGGCTGCGCTTCGCGTCTTCGGGGGCTGCGGCAGGCGGCGGCGGCTATGGATACAGTGCGGAGGAGGAAAAGGTACCCACACCTCTACCCTTTCCTCGTTCTGCCCTCTTTGGGCCTCCTCGGAGGCCCTCGTCGCCACTGCTGGATTCGCATCGAAATCCTGGTCAGAACGCACCCCGGGAGAAGTCTAGGGAGTAGCGGTATCGGTACCTTTTGGTTCTCCCATCAGTGGCGACGCATGCCACGAAGCACCCTGCTTGCCTCCAGTGTGCCCTGGGTTTCTTGGGCTTTGATGGTTTTGTCATGAAAAGCGCGGCGTTCCCACCCCAGAAGTCCATGGACGCCCTGGGGTCTCTGGGTTGGGTTTCTTGTGGAAGGTTTCTTGAGGACTGGTCTCCACTGTAAGGATGGGCAACCTTCCTTGCCCTTGCATCCTTGCCTCCTCGGTCCAACCTTGGCCGCTCTTGCTGGCCGCGCCCCGCTCGCAAAGTGTCCACATGGCCTTCTAAGGCCCATGCATCCTTTTCGTGCATCCTTATGATGCGGGTTGACTGTAGTCGTTGATTTGAATCCCAGATGCCAGTCTATTTGAATCGGTATTCTTTCGTTGTTTTTGTTAGCCTCTGGGCGGGCCCGAGCCCAACCTGCTTTATCCGCCTTGGCACCTCATGTTTCTACCTTCTACCGACTGGTGGGTATGGGTATGTATGGGTGTAGGTATCTAACATGGCCTTCGGCCCATCCCGCCGCCGTGCCTGGGTTGTGGGCCATAATCCTCTAGGATGCTCGTTGGGATGTCGTGTGGGGAGGCTCCTAGGAGCCGTGTGGGGGCTTGTGGTGGCGTATTTGGAGCTTTTTGGGGGTCTCATGGGCCTCTTGGAGGCCATCGGCGATGCTGCGCGATCCTCCGTCCCCATCTACTCGGACCGCATCTAGGAGGCCTCTACCTGCCTTACCGCGCGTTCGGTTCTCTTCTCTCGGTATCAGCCAACAGGTCTGGTCAGCTTTCGGTTCGGCCGAGTTCTTTCGGGTGATGCCTGGAAGGCGCGAGTACTGACCCGACTCGGCGTGGCCCAGAGGCGGCAGTTCCATGGCTGGCTGGTCAGGCCAGTGCTCGGGCGGCTCCAGTGGCACTCAGGCAACTCACTTAGAGCCCAGCGCTGACTTATGTTCTTTTTGTTCCCCCCCCGAACGTCGTCGGCGTCGTTGTTGTCGGCGTCGGCGTCGGCGTCGTTGTCGGCGTCGGCGTCGGCGTCGGCGTCGGCGTCGCGCGCGTCGTCGACGGCGGAGTCGTCGGCGTCGTCGTCGTCGTCGTCGGCGGCGGCGGCGCCCTGAAAGGAGCGCCGCGCCGCGTGCCGGAGGAGCGCTCTCGGTGCGCGGCGCGGTGGTGCGCGGCGCGGGTCGATCTGGCCTGGTCGGCGGGGGCTGCCCACCAGTCGTCGTCGTCGTCGTCGTCGTCGTCGTCGTCGTCGTCGTCGTCGTCGTCGTCGTCGTCGTCGTCGGCCGCCAGGGCGGCAGAGCGCGCAGGCGCCTGCCTTTTTCTCTCCCGCGCGGGGGTCGAGCTGGCCACGCCCAGAAGTTCGTCGCCCAGAAGGCGGTTTGAGCTCTCCCTGGGGGATCCGAGGCCGACCCGAGGCGAGGAGGAAGGAACCGAGGAGGAGGAGGAAGAGGAGGAGGTGGAGGAGGAGAAGGAGGAGGAGGAGGAGGAGGAGGCAAAAAGGGAGGAGGGCAGACAGAGAGGCGATCGCTCTCGGCCCGCTCTCTGACTCTGGCCTTGGGCTGCTTTCCAGCAGCTGCGCCTCGTCGAGGCCCTTCCGGCGGCGCCCGAGTCGTCCCGAACGGCCTCGTCGCCCGGAAGATTTTGCCCATCGCCTCCCGGGCGTTCGCTGCGGAGCTCGGAGCATACCGTTACCGGTTCGCGGCAGGCTGGTCCGTGTTTATTCTTCTCCAAGGCCGTCCACGCCTGGAGGGAGCGGTGCTCCTTCGATCCCTCCTGGGACGACCTGCTGCCTAGCGCGGATGGGGGACAGGGGGGGGGGGTCTGGAGGGGGAGGAGAGCGAATGGGGGAGAGGAGGGGGCAAGGGGAGGATGCGGGCGGGGTGGGAGGAGAGATTGGCAGCTCGGCCCACAGTGGGATCTTTGGGGAAGAGGGGGATTGAGTAGTGGGATCAGGACTGGAGGGAAGGAGCACCCCTCCCGAGAGATCGTCGACAGGTTGAGTTCCCACGGGCGGTGCGTAGGAGGAGCAGGATGAACAGGAGGAGCAGGAGAAACAAGATTTTGAGAATGCGATTGTTCTCCTCACCCCCCTCGTTCTTCACCCCGTCATCCTCTTCCTCCCTACCCCTCCGCTCCTCACCGAAGGGGGGGATGTGGTGGCGGAGGAGGAGGAGGAGGAGGAGGAGGAGGAGGAGGAGGAGGAGGAGGAGCCATGGATGAGATGACGGAGGAGGATAGTGGAGGATGCAGGAGGAAGGTTGGGCGACAGGCCAGGGCCGAGGAGAGACGGTGCCCCGATGTCCCCGATGTGTCCGCACCCGATCTCCGTCGCATCCCTGCCGTGTCCTCCAGGCTCTGTCCGTGCGCCCAGGCGAGGGCGAAGGAGCCAGAGGAGGGAACGAGGCAGAGGCGGGATGGAGTTGGGGATCGACGGCCAGGGACGGAGGAGCGAGGAAGGGGAGTGAGGGGGGGAGGGAGGAGTGGCGCGAGTAGGGGGAGGGGCAGAGGGAGGAGGCGGATAAAGAGGGTGCGGCATAATGGAGGCGGAGGACGAGCATGAACAGGGGGGGAGGAGAGGGCGGAGAAGCACCCCGCTGCCCCCGCCCAGGCACTGACCGAGGCGCACGTCCACCTGCTCACCGACCTCTACAGCAGCTACTGCCCCGGCGAGCTCGGCGTCGACGGCGCGAGTGGGGGGAACGCCGAAAAGGAGGGGGAAGAGTAGGAGAGGGGGGAGGAAAAGGAGGAGGAGGAGGAAGAGGAGGAGGAGGAGGAGGAGGAGGAGGAGGAGGAGGAGGAGGAGGAGGAGGTGTCAAGCATGAAGTGGCAACTGGGGAAGCAGGGTGACTGCCAGTTGGTGCGCAACCAATCGGCTCAAGCTCTTAACGTTCGGAAGTCTGACTCATCCGAGCGTCGCAAGCAAAACAAGCGCGCGCTATTACGCTGACTCCTCCTTGGTATTTTGCATGGTAGCGGAGCGTCGGTTGCAATTACAGGATCCAGATCAGTTGGCCTAGCCCCATGCCCGCAAGACCCACCCGTTGAGTTCCGCGTGTCTGCGGACCGAGAGGTTTGGATTATCTTGGGACCGAGGGGTTTATGGGTATGGGTGCACCGTCAGCGGTTGCTGGCAATTTCGATAATGTGAAGACAGCGCTGCGTGCTGCCCATGCAAGAATCAGAGACTGCATTAACGATCGCACCTCCATGGGCACCAAGGAGGTTACCCCCGCAAGAAGCCTTCGAGATGCTAACTGTGGAGCAGAATATGAACGCCATGCTGATGAGTGTCGTTCGCTGAGACGCAGTGATGGAGCGAGAAACACGCAGTCTGTAACGACAGGTCGAGAGTATTGTGGCGAGTGCGAACACGCACGGGGACACGTTGAGGGATATGTCCAAGTTATGTGACGCCCTTGAGTAAAACGGAGGAAAAATATGAGGCGACAACAGCAAGCCCGTTATTGAGTTCAAGGCCTTGTTGAACCTCAGAGCTTTTACCAGCGACAGGGCCAAATACAGAGAGTGGAGTGACAAGTTGCCCAGTGCTCTGGCGCAGGTGCGTTTCAAGTTTCGTGGAACAGTTAGGGCCCCCATCGAGGAACTGGAAACAATGGGCGTGGTCATGCCTGGAGAGGATCTGGAGGACTTATTACGCATTGAGAATGGGCGATTCGCACGCGCTGAGTACCGTCATGTTAGCGCGGCCAAGCATCAGCACTACGATGACGAAGGGGAAATTGAGTTGACCGAAGAGGACATGAACAAACTTGATGAGAATTTCTGTTGCGTCCTTAACGAGCAACTCGAAGGGTGCGACGCGGGCGACAAACTCAACGGAAAACTGGACGGAGATGGTCTTGCCGCGAACCAGAATATCTACGAATAATATTCGGCAGTTGCGGGGGTTGCGCCGGCGCAGTGGATGTCCGAGGCCATGGGCACCTATCGGCCCGAGCGAGATCAACCAGTGTCGAGCAAGTTGCAAGCGTGGAGTGCATTGGTGCAGGCGTTCTAGAACAAAGAGGGGTGCGCGCGTTGTGCCCCTGCCCTTCGGATTTAACGCCCTCTTCGAGATCGTGAACCATGCGGTTGCCTGGTTTGGCGAATCGCAGCGGGGGCATTTCTCTGCGCCCGATGGCCTCGACGCAGACGCCAGAAACTCCCTGCGCCGAATGCGGGGAAATGGGCCAGGGGGGAGATCTTGGAGGCGGGCGCGAAGAATGGCGATGCCATGGGTGTGGGAGGTACTTGGGTTGCAGCGCGGGCGGCTGTGGTGCTCGCGGACGGCTTGGTGATGATGGTAACTGGTAGCCTGGCGACGGTCATAGGCCTGGTGAGACCGAACACGGGAATGACGTTGTGGTCGCCGCCGCTCATATCGAGGTAGGATTGGGGCATGGTGTGCAGGGGCGTGATGCTTATTTTAGGTAAAGGGCACTCTGGCGATGTTATTTATCGCAGCGAGCATCGCCATTTCCACGATTGGTACCATATCCCCTTATGCTGCGCCTCTTTCCGACCTCCACAACCTAAGGCTTCGGAGGAGGTGTCAAATCTTACGAGTGCGTTGAATTCCGCCCGAGAATTGCACGCGGGCGGACTGACAGGAGGCATGGGGGCACAAGGCAAAGGAAATTACTTGCCTTCTTGGGGCAAGCGCCGCGAAGGAGAACAGGGTGGCAAAAAGGCCCAAGCCGATTGTAAGGTCGTTGCGGCGGCAAAGGGTGTGTTCAGCGGGCCGATCGCAAGCGTTGCACATGTGGAGGAAATGGGGCGCTTTGCCGTTCACCGCCCGAAGTCGGCCAGCCAAGTGGGGCGTGGTTGCCGAGAGAGCACTGGGCCCACCGTGCTCGGACAACCGCACGCGTGCGATCTTGTGGGGTCAGCGAGCGAGGATGATCGAATGGGGCCGGTGATGAACTCTGCCAGGCCACCGACGATTATTGAGCCGCCCAAGGAATGCGGCAATCAGAGGCGTGGGGGGGAAATGATGAGCAGAGCCGATGCCCTGCATGTGCGCAAACATTGCCGGCTACGTCAACATGAACGCGGCTGCGGCCATGGGGATCAATTGATTCGCGATGGCCTCAAGCATGGCTGCCGCAGTGGGGCACGGAAGTGCCGGGGCGTGGGCCTCCTGGGAGCCCGAGGAAGTGCGCGGGGGGTTGATGCAGCGCCGCAGAGCGATGAAAATGCCGAAGCAATCATCGTTGCCGTGTACTCAGGTGCGCGCAGACTGAACTGTTGGCCCCAGTCAGGTAGGCGCTGACTTTCCCATCGAATCCGCTAGTTCGTCCGATAACGGTAAGCATTCCAGCGCAGCAAACGGGGCATTGACCAGTGGACAGAGAGTGATTGCTTGGCGGTGTGACAGTGGGGCGTTTTCCAGGTGCCGATGTCTTAGAGGTTCGTGGGGTCGGATTGTGAGGAGATGGTGGAGCCGGGTAACCGAGTCATGCTTGTTCGCGATGGCAATGGGGGGCCACGCAGTCGCGTCGAGCGCGAATCCAGCGTCGAAGGGGCCGCGATTCAAGAAAGAAGCGGCACCCTCCATCTTGCGGTTCAAGTTCCCATGGGGGACGGGGCCGATGTCATCAGAATCCACGGCGGTTTCAAGGGTCCAGGCGCTTTCGAGGCCCATCTTATTTACCGAGCGGTCTGCCGCCCGCAATGCCCAAATACATGGGCGGAGCTGGCGCGATAGCGGCGGGGGGGGAGGGCGGGGGGGGGGGGCGGTGAGTTGGGCGACGTCGAGGAGGTGTTTATCGGCGATGGCGCCGAGTCACTTTAGGGGGCCCGCAGCAGCGTGCGACCAGGTGAAGAAGAAGAACAGCGCGGCGCCATTAATTTGCCATGTCGTCGTTGGCGCCCCCGCTGCGGCGGCGGAGAGGCCAGGGGGCGTGGCCGCTGCAAGTGGCAGCGGGAGTGTGGAGAAGGGTTGCCTGTGATATCCTGGGATTGCATGCGGCTCAGAGGAAAGAAAATGAACAGGGTGATGAAGAAGGTGGCCCAATTCTAGTGATTCGCTGTAGAGGCGCCGTATTCGCGTGGAGCCGAGTAGCGCTAGAGAAGGAAGTGGCCCCCTGCGCGGCGAAAGCGGCTCGCGACATGATCGGCCTTGCTGGGCGCAAGAAGGCGATGCTCAAAGTGATGGATAATCGTCTGTTGCTGCTCTCAGAGAGGCTATTCAAGCCTCCAGCACGTTGGGGATGGGCGTGGGGGTCAGCCCGGCTGGCGATGCCCAATTCAATGGCGATGTTGAGCGTGATGTCCGCGCCGTGCAAGGTCATGCCAGAACGTGCATGTGTGCGCTAGACGCCTACTGGTAAGACGCAATGCGACGATGCTCGTGCTGTCATGGCTTGGTTGGGTAGCATGCGCCTCATCTTTCGCCGGCAAGTTCGCGCTCGGTACCGGCGGCAAAACGGCGCGCGAGAGATGTCGGGCCAGAAAGTGCATCGAGGCATTGCCCGAATTTGGTGTGGGTGTCATGTGCAGTGAGAGCTCCTTCCACAAAGGGCTGAACACTTGGAATCGAAGTGCCCCCCGAGGGAAGTGGAAGGATTCCTTAGGGATCCCCCAGGGCAACCCCAGGGACTCCTAATGATTTCTTGGGGCTTCCATGGTTTCCCTGGGGCTTCCTTCGGGATTTCTATGGGCCCCCCACGTCTTCCCTAGGGATTCCCTCGGGCTTCTCCAGGGCGACTTCTCCTTGGGTGCGTTTTGGGTACCTGGCCGCGGCGGCGAGTCCCCCCAAAATGGGGACGAACAGCGGCGACGCACACACACAAACAACCAAGGTTTTCGATCCTCAAAGTTTGATCGTCGATTTTTCCTTTGGCTGCTGTTGCCGTTCCTCTTATGGATGACCTCCGTCGTTGAGAGAGAGAGAGAGAGAGAGAGAAAGAGAGAAAGAGAGATACTGACAATTTTTGTATATATGCACATAAACAAGAGGGATAATGAGAGAAATGGAAAGAGGGAGCGATAACTATATAACATTTACATATATAGCAAGCGCAGCGAAAGAGAGGGACACATAAACATATACGTATATACATGAAAAGAGAGAGAGAGAGAGAGAGAGAGAGAGAGAGAGAGAAAGAGAGAGAGAGAGAGAGAGAGAGAGAAAGAGAGAGAAAGAGAGAGAGAGAGAGAGCGAGACAGCGAGAGAGCGAGAGAGAGAGAGGAGAGAGACAGAAAGAGACAGAGACATCTCTCTCTCTGTATATATATATATATATATATATATATATATATATATATATATATATATATATCGGAGTAGGGCCCCGGGGCGGTGCCTGTCATCTCCATGGGGTGTGCAGGGCGCCCCCGGGAGCGTCCGAAGCGTCCCGGAGGGCCCCTGGGACCGCCAGGAACAGTTCGAGACCGCCCAAGACGGCCCGCGAGCGCTCCAAGACGCGCATAGATAACCTCAGGAATGGCCAGGAAAGCCCGAAGACGTTCCAAGAGACCTCCATGAGGCCCCCGAAGGCATCCCAAGAGGCCTCCCAAGAGAGCCCCGACAAGCCAAAATCGTTGATTTTTATGGTTTCTGTTCGAGGTTTTTGGCTTCGCTTTTTCGGGGTTCCGACGCTCCAAGGCCGCCCAAGAGTCACCCAAAACCGTTTCAAGACGGCCGAAGAGGCCCCCCAAGACCGCCCCAAGACGGCCCAAG